TTGAAGTTCGTTCGCTACGCTCACTCACCTTTAGGTTGGAGCTCGTTCGCTGCGCTCACACGTCCTAGTTGAAGTTCGTTCGCTACGCTCACTCACCTTTACGGTTGGAGCTCGTTCGCTGCGCTCACTTGCCTTCAGGTTAGCTCGATCGCTACGCTAACTCGCCTCCGGGTTGAAGTTCGTTCGCTACGCTCACTCACTTTTGTTTTAAAATTAGCTGTTGTAAAATATAAAAAAAATATAGTGCTGCACTCTGTTGGTAATCCTTGTAACTTTAATGCTATTTAACATCATAGAACAGAACCAACTTGATTAATTGAAACAGCTGTTAAGATTCATTAATTCCATTTAAATATGAGTACTCATTAGGTTAACATGGGAAACTCCAGAGCTACTGGGGCGGAGCCCGAGAGTCCGATCAGAACAAAAACCACTTAGTTTTCCTATTTGATGCCTAAAGAATCAGTGCACCAAATTTCAGCCTCCTAGGTAAGTGGGAAGTGGGAGAATTAGTGATGAGTGAGTGAGTCAGTCAGTCAGTCAGTCAGTGAGGGCTTTGCCTTTTATATATATAGATACCTATATCTACACACACATGATCAAACTTGTTACCTAAGTATTATACCGACCACATAAGTGTGCGCCCAGCCTAAGCGCATTTTATGATGCTCCGGGGCTTTTGCCTATATCACATGACCTTGGCCTTCTTAGTGTAGAAAAACGTTTTTATGAATATTGAAAACAGTATGGAACCCATTATGGTTTGAGGCACTCCAAATAGATAGTTATTTATGCCAAATACTGTCAAGGGAATGTCCACGTGGATATTCAAAGATGCAAGTTTTTGTTTCAATAAAAAAAAAATAGGCAACGCAAATCAGGCAATTATATATTTTTTGGTTCTCCCCACATAATGTACCTTGTAGCCTAATAAACCCTTTGGCTGGGCTTTTATTGACACAAATTTGTTTGGGGTTTTCTTTTGGAGAAAAATATATTGCCAATACGCATAACAGTCAGCCAATTTTAGAATCCCGCCATAGCAAACATTTTCATAAGCTAGCTTTATAAAGCTTGAGCAATGCTAAATTGACGTTATCTAAGACGTCATTCCATAACGTACGTGCGTAAAATAGTCTAGAAATTACAGAAAACCGTTGTTGATAATTGTTTTGCATACAGTAATATTCTTATCTTATGTAAGGGCTCTCTAATGGTATATTTTTAGCAAAGCGAAAATTTTCATATTGATGGATGTTAGCCTCCGGATTACTGCATAATACTTAAAGTGGTTTAAATACCTGCATTTAAGTAATCCAATTCGTTGCTTATGTTGCAACCGGTTTCAACTCCGTTGAGTCATCTTCAGGCTCCCAAGGATATAAGTTATCACTTCATTTGAAGGTCGTCATCGTTTTTTAAAAAACTAATTAACACGTAACACGAACATTAAACAATGAACACTGACGTTTAACATACAAAAAACACACAAAATAACTGAGAAGGTGAGCGACGCGTACCGGCCGGATGTAAAGTCTGGAAAGCGAAAAGTTTTAAGTCCTAACTCAAGTATATGCAGAGATGTACAGCTTAGCGTTTGAAAAAAAAAACTTGTCAAATTGCTGTTTTTCGAAAACCGAACGGAAAACAAGACAACTTTCGAGCAGTGGCGCAAATGACATCAATCACAGATGACACAAATTACACCAGCTACGCCACAACCTCATTAATTTTAGACATGACATGTAAATGATGGTGTAATAATCATCGAAGTTACTCTTCTGATATTTTAGTTTCTCTACTGAATTTTGCGAAAACTGTTTGAACGCGGTAAAAGTAAGTTCACAGAATAACGTTGATCATCAGTACGACCGTTGCCAGTGTTTCAGTTACAAACTTTGTTAGGTGCAAGTAAGTGATCGGTTGTTTTCGGATAAGTGTTTAATTAATTACAGAATCAAGTAACATCGCCATGCTGGGCGTCTTCTTGTTGGCGTTTGTGGTTCCAACGGTCACCGCTGTATGGACTGAAACGCAAGGGGAAACACTAAAAGAATTCCTGGGCGTGAAATACTTCATTCAGGATCTAAAACAATTTGAGGTATACGAAAGAGTCTTGAAATCTATTGGCGTGTATGGAAGAGGGGTGCTCCTGAAACATATTACAAATACGATCGTATTATGGCTGGCCAATGAAAATGGAAAACTTTGTCTTAACACTTACTACCGTATTCCAGAACCACTTGGCGGACATACTAAAACTGACACATTTTTTCTGGCTGACATAATAACCCCTCGTGATGATCCAAGTATTGAATTTACTCAAGTGGAAGTGGAACAACAAACGCTCGTCCTACGTCGTAAGAAGCGTGAAATGGAAATCTATTACATTGGTAGACGTCCCGATCCACATTTTATTCATAGGACCTTCGAGGCAAAATTTGATTTTCAAGATAAAAAGTTAACCCTTACTTTGAGTGTTGACAACAAAAAAAGATATATGCAATTTAAAAGGGTCACCACAGAAGGGTACTGAGGTTTGTCTTGTATTCAGGTTTGCTTTCATCAATAAATAAATTGTTCTTCAAGGGAAAAATCTGCCTTAATAATTTGTACTAACCAACCAATTTAACTAATAAGTATATTTTGAATAAAATTATTAATTTCAGGAGCTCCCCGGCTTTAAGAAAAACTAGATTTTCCTATACGTGGGTTAATGTAAATTTATTAAGTAATTTAATTTTAAATTAATTTTATGATTTACTAATAGAAGAAAAAAAACTTACTGACACTCCTGATACTGATACTAATACTGATACCAACATTTGAGCGAACGAAGCTCTTTGAGACCGGACCTTAATGTCAACTATGTAATGAATTAACTCAATAACGGCTGAACATATTTATCCAAACTTTTCAGGGTTATTTTGAAAAACCGTGTTCATGTTATTAAACAAACAAATATAAATTTGATAATGTCTGCACAATTTAAAACCAACATAATGTTATTGATCAAACAGAGAAAGTATTACAGGACATTTGGAAACTATCACGGTATTTAAGAGGTACACTATCCAATGATTTACATAGTTGACATTATCTTAATGAATTACCTACCTGCAATCCTAAAATGCTACGATAAGGTAGGGAAACAGGTCCACGATGACTTATTATAGGCCCCGACGACTCTGTAGGAATTTCTTTTTACATTATACTAGCTGTAACCCGCGGGCTTTGCCCCGTTTAACTTCTTAATTTTCAAGATGATCTCGTTCGCATGGCTCAATCACGTCCTGGTTGAAGTTCGTTCGCTACGCTCACTCACCTTTAGGTTGGAGCTCGTTCGCTGCGCTCACTTGCCTTCAGGATAGCTCGTTCGCTACGCTCACTTGCCTTCAGGTTAGCTCGTTCACTACGCTAGCTCGCCTCCAGGTTGAAGTTCGTTCGCTATGCTCACTCACCTTTTGGTTGCAAATTAGCTGTTGTCATAAATGTAAAAGAAATAATAGTGCTGCACCCTGTTGGTAATCCTTGTAACTTTAATGCTATTGAACATCATAGAACAGAACCAACTTGTTTAATTGAAACAGCTGTTAAGATTCATTAATTCCATTTCTCATAAGGTTAACATGGGAAACTCCAGAGCCACTGGGGCGGAGCCGATTGGACGGATCATGAAATTGATGGTGTATAAACCTATTCCATGAAATTCTACACGTATGTACCAAGTTTCGTGGCAATCGGTTCAGCGGTGTCTGAGTTTATCACTGTCAAATATATATATACATATACAAACATCCTCTTTTATACTTATAGATTATATTTTATATTATTTACCAACGCCTTTAGCCAAATAGTTTAAAGTTTAATACGAGTATTTATATCATATTGGCTAAGATTGAATACTCGTCGACCTTACAGAGTCAGTATAAAAGTTAGGCAACATTTACCAAAACCACTTTAACGAAGGTGAGGATGATATGAATACCGGACAGTTGCGGACACGGACAATTGGGGACACGTCTTAAAAGCGGACAATTGCGGACACTAGGGATTAATGCTACCTGACAAGGGTTTGACAGGTATCTACAAATATTTCACTGCCGGACAACTACGGACACATGTTTTGGAAAGAGTCTGATTTCCACCTAAAGAACAGATACATACATGATATATGATTTTAGGACTGATTTCCATCACACTTTACACACTAACCTAACCTAAGGTAACTAAGATTAGGTTAGTGTGTAAAGGGTGATGGAAATCAGTCTTAAAATCATATATGTATGTATCTGTTCTTTATGTGGAAATCAGACTCTTTCCAGAACATGTGTCCGCAGTTGTCCAGCAGTTAAATATTTGTAGACACCTGTCAAACCCTTGTCAGGTAGCATTAATCCCTAGTGTCCGCAATTGTCCGCTTTTAAGACATGTCCCCAATTGTCCGTGTCCGCAACTGTCCGGACACCGGATGATAAAGCTCCAACTGAGCGTCTGCAGGATTTCCCGAGCACTTCTAGAGCTCTGAGCCTTCGAATGAATAAATTGATCAGTCAATGCCGTGACAACTTCGTATCGACCCCTGGATTTTTCTCAGCTCCTGAGCACTCCGGGGAAGAAATTTTAGTGTGGCTGGTTCTAGGGGTAGGCCTAGCCTGACTTTGTAACATAAATATACTTTATTTACTGCAAAAACATCAGCCAATATTGGTGTGTGTTTCATGAGAAGTTCTTGTTTGAAAACAAGTTTCCAGTTTCGACTCTTCAGTGGAGGTTTAGCAGGTTTATAAATAGATCATTCAATAAAATAGCGTATACACACACACACATCCCACACTGGTATTTGCAACGCAAATCCACGCTCTAAATTGTTATTCCATATAAAGTATGTTTAATATTTTGTTTCAATCGAAACTAACAGTCCTTACTTCAATTCTTGATTCCATCTTCCTTGACCGTAACTAGTCAGATGTTTTATAATATTCATATACCTGTTGCAGAACCACGTTCACGGCTTATCAGCTGGAGGAGTTGGAGCGAGCGTTCGAGAGAGCACCGTACCCCGATGTGTTCGCTCGGGAGGAACTCGCCCTCAAGCTGAACCTGAGCGAATCCAGAGTCCAAGTGTGGTTCCAGAACAGGAGAGCTAAATGGCGAAAACGGGAGCCACCCAGGAAGACGGGATATCTACCAAGTACAGGTGAGAAAAAGGGGGTGTTGCTTGGTAAAGAAAACTGCGTGTGAATAAAGGTAGTTTTGCAGAAAAGAAAAACGTAGTAAAATGAGGTTAATAGTAAATTGGGTCTAACACAAGACTTAAGCAAATAGGGAAATTACGTTACTAGCCTTATGGTTAGCATATCGGACTAGGTAATTGGCGTGAGAAAGCACAGGTAACTCCCAGTATATCACAAATATTGAGGGGTTTGTCAGATTTCCCTTTAAAACATTAGCGATATTTACAAACAAAATTCTGAAAACGTTAACAGGATTATCCACAATGTAAGGAGAGAACATCAATTGAATGCATTTTTCTCCTTCGCCAATCCACGATGGTTACTTATGTAAACAGTTGTTTTTATCTGCGCTTTAAACAAGAATTCAAAGTAAACTAGAAACAAATGTACGTTATGCAAAAAACAAAGAAGTTAAAATGATTTGTTATCTAACAATCTAACTACTAGTTTGATAATCTATTTAAGTTACGCAACGTCCATTGATTCTTTGGTAGAATACAAATAGGTTTGGAAACCCCAGTATTTGTTTGAAATAATTATGTTCAAAGGGGTTGAGTTAATCCGTTTGTAGTTTTGTTTGTTGTATTACATTTTTGGTGTATTAACAATTTTCAAAGTTACTTTTCTAATTTGTAATTTTTATGAAATACCCTGCATATTGAATTTTTCAATATAATATAGCATTTTAAGTTTAAGCTAGCAATCTAGATTAACCATGTGAATGGCATTTAATGAAACCGTACCTTACCCTTGATCGTGCCCAGAGAACACCGAAACTACTTTCTGTTGAGGGATTTCACATGACCCCTGATGATTAGTAACTTGGACATTGGCAAGAAGTATTACTTTTATAGACTAGTAGATATGGAAAACTGAAAAGCACCTGAATGAAATGGCACGTAGTTGTGATAATACAGTTTACAATTCCCCTGTGTTTAGTTAAGAAAATGAAAATAATAGGTTTCAAAACTTGACGTATTCCTACAGGAGTTCCTGGATCCCCCAGTTCGTCTATAGGCTCCAACAGCTTCACACCCTTGAGTCCCTTCAACTCTCCGGCCAGTAACCCTCCCTCTGTGCCTACTAGCACCCCAGACCCCTGGGGCTACCCTCCCTCCTACCAGCTAGCTCAGATGGACATCCTCAATGACTACAACTACCATCCTGCCCCCAGCTGCAACTCCCCTGGGCCTGTGTACTCCAACAACTATCCGATCATGGGTGAGTGCAGACTATGTGTTCATATACTGAGAAGAGGCCTCTCCCAGCCTTTATGACAAGTGCATTTTGCTAAGCATGGTTTTAACCAGTCTTTGGTGTATTTCATGCGGTAAATAACAAGTACAGTATTGCATGGTGTGACCATTTCTTAAAACTGTGCGTGAATGAATTACCTTGGACTACGAAATTACGTTATATCGTTATAGAGATTAAACTACAGAAAAATCAACAGCATTTCTTGGAATTATAGCATTATAGTACCATTTGTTTTACGACCAAATTACGTATCATCATCATCATCCATCGATAATATTAAAATGTGACAGGGTTTTTTTCTAATCAACCACTTGACGGATTTTCATGATTTTTGTGTTGAAAGAAAGATACTTGGCTAGAAGACAAAACTTTTGCTCTAACCACATCGGCAGTATGCTACAGAGCTTTACTTTGTCACCGATTACCCTCATCGGCCTCATCCCCCCCTCATTACCCTCATACTTAAAGATTTTGATTTCCTCTTTGTAAAATTTCCACCAACATTCTATCTTAACGCCAAAGCATGAAAGTAAAAAATGAAAACTTTACAAAAACCGATCCAAGACCTTCACTTATCTCCGCATTGCTTTCAGGAGCTCAACATGGAAACTTCAACTCCGTAGGGATGTTCCCCAACATGAGACACCACCAGGAGTTCATGATGGGCGGAGGCGAGGATTCTCCACCACACTACCCCCATCCTCTGGAGATGGAGCCCAAGCATGAGTATGTGGAAGGAGAGCACCACCACCACCCACACCCGCACCCGCACCCGCAGTACCACCCGGACACCCAGGACCCGGGCTTGGGTGAGGTGAAGGACACCACCAATATCGGAGGGTACAATGTGGACAAGGGGGAGTGTAGAGTGAAGATAGAACCGGAGTCGCAGAGTTACGGGACGTTGCCTCCGTTCATGAACTGACTAGAACGTGGTCTATGTCCGTCCCGGGGCAAGTACTAGCACTACACTCCATTCCACATTCACCTTGCTGTACGGAGTATCAATAGATCATGTATTTCAAAGTGCTGTTTCATATTGGCTGTCCTAAAAAATCTGAATCCGAGAAATGGTCCTTTGGCCTTTCTTTTACTTACGTGTTTACGACTAATAATAACTATAACAAAGTCAAAACCAAAACCATTATGTCAAAATACCAATATCTTAATAAGTAACAAGTTCTGCAACGCCTCTGTGACGAAAGTTGAAACAAATCCGCATGACGTTAACATGATGTTTCCCGTATTATTGGTAGGAATACTAACTCCCATGTACTGCACGGTGAATGTGGAATTGAACCTTTGACGGTAAAAATTCAGAGTGCTGATGGAGTCCATTCACAGATCGTATGTTCACAAAACATTTTCTAAGATAGTAAAAAATCTAACTTAAATTAAATCGAAGATACTTGTCCAGTTTTAAAGAAAAGTTCAAACCTTAAACACATATGTTTTTTTATTGTTCTCATATTCTTATGAAAAGATTACAAAAAAATGTTGACCTAAAAAACTTTGTTCACTCTGTGATCACACAAATATTATGTGGTTTTGATTTGTTTTACTATTGTGTATCAGTCATTCTAGTACATGATTTGTAATAATCAAGAAACAACAAATTAATGGGATTTTATTTAGTCGTGTTAACTAAAAATGCTACATTAAAATTCTAACATGAGTGTGTGAGGGGAATTCTATCGGCACTCTGACCCAGGGAAATGAAGTGCTTTACTGGGGGCGGCTTGGACACTCGGATTATGAGAAAGACTTTTAAATCTATCATATTATAGTGTGTTTATATTACACAATCGATCCAGTGTGCATATTTATTACGAATAGTATAATGGAATAAGGTACCTATATAAAAACACAGAATTACCAACGATATTAATATTTTTAGAACTGAGTGGCATTTTAAAATTTGTTTTCATTGGGATTTCACTTGTTTTATAACAACTAACTTTAGGATTGTCTCCTCCAAAATACGCCCACGGAGTTAGTGCATGGCAACCGTACCGGCCGGTTTGTTGTCATTGTAAAATCAGTGATAACAAGTAAACATAAACTTTGTGCAGACGCTCCATTGTGAATTATTGCAACAGCTGTTTCAATAGGACGGGACCGTGACGTTGCCACTTTTACCTCGCAGCGATGTTGTAATAAAGGAGACTATTATTCATCCAAGCCTTGCTTTTAACAAATGACTGAAAATCTATATATATAAAAGGCAAAGCCCTCACTGACTGACTCACTCACTCACTCACTCATCACTAATTCTCCCACTTCCCATTTACCTAGGAGGCTGAAATTTGGTACACTGATTCTTTAGTCATTAAATAGGAAAACTAAGTTGTTTTAATTCTGATCGGACTCTCGGGCTCCGCCCCAGTGGCTCTGGAGTTTCCTATGTGAACCTTATGAGTGATATTTAAATGGAATTAATGAATCTTAACAGCTGTTTCAATTAAACAAGTTGGTACTGTTCTATGATGTGCAATAGCATTAAAGTTACAAGGATTACCAACAGGGTGCAGCACTATTTTTTTTAAAATAATTTATGACAACAGCTAATTTGCAACCAAAAGGTGAGTGAGCGTAGCGAACGAACTTCAACCTGGAGGCGAGTTAGCGTAGCGAACGAGCTAATCTGAAGGCAAGTGAGCGCAGCGAACGAGCTCCAACCTAAAGGTGAGTGAGTGTAGCGAACGAATTTTAACCAGGACGTGATTGAGCCATGCGAACGAGCTCACTTATGAAGTAAAACGGGGCGAAGCCGGCGGGTACAGCTAGTAAATATATATATTTAAGGCATGATTTATTCCAATTTGTTTGGAAATTAGGATTAATTAATGTATGTAAAATGATCAGACGCATGTGATTTTGACCAAAGTTTTGAATTATCTGTTATGTTTAAAAAATCTGTATTATTGTTTTCAAATTTTGCAATCGGTTTCGAAAAGAACAAAGATAGACACGTTACTATTACGTGATGAAAAACACTAATTCTGCAATAGAATCTCAGCTTTAGTTTCTTTTAAAATATAAGTAAGAATGTAAATATGTATATGTTATGTTTATAGAAGTTTGAAAATGTAAAGTTATGAAAATGAGGAAACTTAAACAACAAAACGATGTCTTCCAGCAACAAATGTTAGTATTAAAAGCTGGCTTGTATTTTTTCTTATTTTTAAGTATTATCATAGAAGGGAGTGCTGCACATGAGAGAACGGAGAGTGTGGAAAGTTTCTCGAGTGCAGCAAAGGCACTTTGTACTCGCGTTCTATGTCTATGGTATTACCACACCAAATATAAGTTTCTCTACACTATTGAAACACATTATTTTAATTATACAACTAGATATGTTTTATATTTAAAAAATCCAATAATAATATGAAGAATATCCAATATGCCTGTAATAACTACACATCATTCATTACGGTTCCTAAATAATTTTTATAATTTTTTCCAGCTTAAAATCTCTTTATATATCACAACTTAATTTTGTAAATATGTTTGCTTGTGTATGTTCTCTATACTTAATATGTGTTATTTTTGTAACTCTGTGAATTCCTGTGCCATAAAATGTACATAACTGTTTGCTGTTTGAAATTATTTTTGTAAAATAAATATTTTAAAAACTATTTATGTAGCCTACGTTTTGATATTTTTATCACTAAAGATTTATTACAGTACTACAACCTTTTCTTTACAAGGGGTTTGTTATGGTTGAATAAATTAAAATGTATCAATCAATGCGACAACAATAAAAACAATAATTAACTATGAAATAGTTGTAATTACTGTAATTTAAGTTGTAATAGTATTAAATGTTATCACTTCACTTCAAAGATAGTTTTTGTATTTATGTAGTATAGTGTTGTATAAAAACATGCATTTATGCATAGTCTCTCCTAGGCTATGATTTATGTGATATATATGTGCGTTCGTTGTGCCTTATGTGACTGTACATTTTTCTACTGAAAATATATTTTGTATCATATTTTAGACATTGTAAAATAAAACTTCTTGAATATTCTGTAATTAATTTTTGTGTAGACACAAACCTTTATTTCTTATGGGGCATAATATTATATATTTTATTGTATGTGGCCTAAAATGACGATTTTGTCTCCAAAAAGACACTCTATGCCTGAATGACAAACTTTTTATACTACCAATTTGGCCAGTAACTTACAGTAGTCCAAATCAACACTCTATAGTTATTTGTGTAACTAGAATGCGAAGTGGCACTTTGCTGCACATGAGAGAACGACCAGTGTGGAAAGTTTCTCGAGTGCAGCAAAGGCACTTTGTACTCGCGTTACACATTATATTATTTTCCCTACAGTTTCTATAAGCCATATAAATAATAAGTCTTTCAATTTGAACAATCTGATATTCTTGGGACTTAATTAAATCTACAGTTTTCTTTGATTTATAGTTAGATTTAGTTTATTTCCAAAATTCAAATTTTCCCTCATTGTAGGAGGTAAAATGGCTATGTTCGAAACCTGTGGATTTTAGTATCAATAATATTGGTTACATTTCTTAAGTTTCGAACTTGTTATTTATAACTACCAAACTTTCCAAGTTATCGATTTTTAAATTATATAATTCATTGTAAAATCAGCTTAAAATTTTGAGTACTGAACCCACAGTTCTGAAATTCCTTTGTACCACAAATATTCCTGTAGGCCTAATTGCCTGAATAGCTGAGAGTTTATAGTGATCGTTTTTAAATGGTCGCTGGTTTGATTGCAAATGAGACTGTTTTTGGACCCAGATATCATTGATGATGCTATCGGACAAAATGTTGACATCAGCGATAGCAAAATCAGGTGTTGGATAGGTCCTTTACAAAAATCTAAACAATTCCAATGGTATACATAAACACAAAATAAAACGATAAAACTATTAGTCTTTGGACCGACTGCATATACGCTTTTGGGATGAAGTTTGTGATTGATTTTCAAGCAAAACGTCATCGATATTGAATAGGACAGTGGCTCTTGTCGGTCCTCGAAACTGACCTTACTCATCTTCGACAATAAACTCGTCCAAGGGAGCGATTGCGATAGACTTATCGCAACTAACATGTGGGTGGCCGGCGCGCGCAACTGATCAATAAGCCCTGCTGACACACTCGCGAATTCGCGATTCTCCATCCGATCGATATATCGATATTGTACAGCTACATCGATTTCGTGGAATAATAAAAAAAACTGTTTCTAAACCCAAACACTACCGGTATGATAAAACTCGGTAGTAATTTGTTTGATCGCCAAGCTGATTAGAACACATGGTACATTATCCAGATTGAATAAATATTGTGTACTAAGAAATTATACATAAAGTACATTAATCCAAGTATCGTAGTGAAAACTAATTGTTTGAAAATAAAATCAAACGATAAAACATAAAGTAACGCAATGGCTATTCTAACTTATTTTAAATTGTATTATTACAATTCCACTCGTAGGTCTAATTTTTAAGCGTTGTTCCTTATTTTTACAACACCCAACTTTGTATTGTTCAAATGTGATATCACTATCTGTACATGTTTATAGTGTTGTTCGTACATTTATTCACGAAGTACTTATTGAGCATAAATTGTTTTAAATATAGTAATTATTTGGAAATTACAACACTAACACTGCAAAATTGATGCGAATGTATCATCGAATTTCTTACATCAGCAATAAAATCGGTAGTATCGGATAGTATCGATAGTTTACAGTAGTCTCGGTAGTTTCGGAACGTTCTCGTCTTTACTGTCTTGTTGCTCCTTGTTCTACGTGTTCGCGATACACCCCGGACCTTGGACAGCTACTGATGAGCCTGCAGGAGGACAGCCTTCACAGGACGGTCATGGATTGATCCTTTGAACTAGGTAGGTAATCAGTGCTTGAAGTGTTACGGCCGCGCAACTACTGCAAAAGTTAAACATCTGGAACTGACTTGGAATTTGTGTAATACTTTACATAAATTTTAATATTGAAACAATAAATAATTTGTATCGTGCAATCTACAAGATATTAAATTAACTAGCTAGAAATAATATCGAGAAGTAATCGAAAAATTACTTACACTTTCACCTTATATGGTATTAATTCTTAGGTGTGATAAAGATTTTCAAATAATGTCCACACAATTAAATACATTTATTTTTTTATTGCCTATTTGTGTGTCATTTGATTTAGTTCAATGAATCGCAACCTTTGAATAAAATAATGCTCATAGTGGATGATTATGCATGTAACACAATCACGAAATCTGTAGCCTACTATTAACCGTTATGAAGTAATCAATTAAATAAATTTGTAAGTAATACAAGATTGGAACTCTGAAGAGATTTGTATGATGGAAGGAAATCTGAAGGACTTTCAGTATACTGATTAAACTTCTCAACGATCCACAATGTTTTGGTGGTTTATTCCATGGCCATAATTATGGTATATATGGCCATTATTGCGCACAATCAAATTGATTGTTCCGATAGATTTAAAAGATGCCAAACAAGAAAATATAACCTGTAAAAATGTCGTTTAAATCTACATTATTTTGTCAGGGAATCTTGTAGACCCGTGTTCCTCAGGCAACGACCGCTTGTCAAAATCTAAAGAACGCTTCTGATCCCCAATCTGCACCAATGTAGAGTTTCAACCTCAGGATGACTTGACTAAATCGCAGTGTAAAATTACGTTTTGTAGGTTGTGGCGTGAATATTAGAACAGAAACTGGATGCATTCTAATAACACCGGGGTTGAAGCATACGAATGATCATATAACCTTTAGACTTTTTAAATAATCGGCTGGTCTTAGACAAAGTCAAATACCGTACTAAAAAAATTATCTCAATCAAAATGTGTTTAATGACCAACTCTTTTTCCCGTATAATTTTATGTATGACACTGCAATGAGGTACTGGAGAGGGGAAGTGTGATTGACAGGACGCAAGCTGAGGTTATAAGATAACGGGGACGCACACATATTACTGCACTGACCACCACCCGCAGTCTGGACTCAAACTCCGCCGGGTAGCGTCGTCTGTATCAGACCCAGACGGGGGTTTGATCAGTCACATCAGTTACGTTACCGAAAATGTTTCGTAGGCCGTAGGCCTACCATGTATGTGTCATGTTTAAATGTTAATTAGTTTTTTGTGTCATATATCACGCTCTTCTTATGAATACATAAGACGTGTTATAGTATGAATACGTCCAGTAATAGGTAGAGATCAAGTAATGATTGATTGATAGATACGTTATGAGACAAGCTATCTTTACCACAGATATTTAAACCGAAAAGATAGTTTTATTTGCGATTGTACTCTCTGAATTTGCCGTGTGTGAGTGATAGAGCTAATCATCTTGTTCGTTAATTAACTGTTAAGGGACAAACTCTATCAGTTTCGCTTCGTTAGATACGTCATTGCCTCCCTGCAGAGATTGGCTACCCCGCTGATCGACATCAGTCACAGTGTATCACTCTGCTAAAACTGATTTAACTATAATTCTAGAATCAAAATATAGATAATTGATTATCTATCCATATACGAGTTGAAAATATGATACCCCCAGCAATTTCCTCTTGATGTTTGAATTTGAGAAAAAATATTGAACTCGTTAAGGGTGTTATTTTATAATATTGAGTAAATGCATTCACTAAGATAAAAATGGGTATTTTTACTATTTTGTACATATAGTTGAAATTTTTTAAATTTCCATTCAATAAAAATTATCTGGTTTGATGGAAATAGTATAGCTTTATAGGTATATCCATGACGATTGCATCCGACTTAATTCCTAACACGCAGAACACCAACGCTCCAGCAACACACTGACCCACCTTTCCACGTTACAGTCCTCATTCACTGCCTCGCTGCTGTAAGACTTACTGTCATGCATAGGAGCTCCAGGATACCCGAATTTTAGGCTATCCCTCTGGTGAGCCGGGTCAAAAAGCGCGCTAGCTCGCTCTGCCGCTGCCACTTGATTACCGCAACTGTAAGCTCGCGTCCAGATAACAATATGTTAGCCGTATCTGGTATAAAGGCTGGCTAAAGATAAGTTCAGAGCATGAAAAGGAGCCACGTTTCTCAGGGAAACCGACGTGGCAACTTAACGCATTCGTGTGTAATATGGCGGATTGGTGTAAATAAGAACAATGTGGTAACGGGTTGGCACCCTCATCACAACCTATGGCCAAAAAAGAAAATCTTTATATAATTAAACAAACTCCGCTCTGGAGTACTACAATAACACTGTCCAAGTAAAATCTTTTCAATGATTAACGTACAACTTAATATGCTAAGCAAGTAAATTACCATTGACCATGTAACATTACGTGGAATATAACAGGTACTGTACAACAAAAGTCAAAACATAAATTAACTGAAATATCTGCAAATAAAAATAGCTCTCGTTTATTTAAAAGACTTACTCAGTGTAATTGATTTTGTTCTTTTCTCTTTAATCTATAACAGCTATATCTTTAATAGCTATAACTAACAAATATAAAGCTACATGGTTCTTAAGCCAAGCCAGCTTTTTGATGTGAGCAAAAGAGACAAACAACAATATAACAAAAACAAACAACACACAACAATAACAAACAAAACAATTTTAATAAATAAACTGTTGTGTTGTTGTGTTTTGTTGTGGTTTGTGGTAGGCTCGTATTAGTCTTTTGATAACATTATTTTAAATTAAAATCAATTACGAAGATGTTACTTTTTGGATATTACAGTTCATAACCAGAGCGAAATTAGTAACCGGGATTGTGTGTGTTTCTAACACCTCTAGCCCTTAAAAAGTTGTAAACAAGTGAAACTGTTTGGTTATGTTAAGTGTTATTCAACAAATTTACATTGAACCCCAATTTCATATAATCTGTAGTATTACATTACCGTGATTTAAAATTTAAACACAAGTTAGCAATGGAACTCCCTTATTATGCTAAGAGAAAAAAGGATCAAATGTTCTTCAAAGTGTTCACAAGGTCAATATTATTTTTAAAACTAATCTAGGCATAATTTTTAAACCTAGGCCTAATTCCAAACATGATAAGTCTCATAATTGTGTTCAAAAACAGGCTAATAATTGTAGGTAAAGTTATTCAAAGTGTTTCCTTAAAGGAACATATTATTTTGGCTTTAACTTACATTTTCCTTAATGTTAGGGGGGCAATTATTTGGTCATAATTAATTTTCCCACTCCTAAATTTACCTACATAGGCTATTTATTTATTTTGTAGATTAGGCCTACAAACTTAAATGAACTAATAATGAAGCAATGTTTTAGAATTGGGCTGCACTTTACTTGACGTCCTACACTCATTCGAATAAAAATATCGATCGATATATCGATTAATCGATTGCTTCATTCGATATATCGTTTGGTTAGTTAGGTAGGGTTAACCTAACCTAACTAACCAAACGATATATCGAATGAAACAATTGAACGAAAATATCGAATCGAAAAAAAACAATCGAATGAGTGTAGGACGTCAAGTAAAGTGCAGCCTAGAATTGTTTTATACTTGTGTTGTGTATTAAGTTTATAGGCTACTGTAAAAAAAACCTTTAGGCTACACTGCATAATAGGCTATTTAGCCTATTCCAAACTAGATAGGACCACCTAGGTTACACAATATTAATGTAGCTTAGCTCTTAATGTCACACATACAAATAGAACCACGTAGGAAACTTAACTTAATCTTTCTTTAATTTTTTCAAACCAAATGAACAATTTGCTTGGAAGTAATGTAGGGTTACGATGAAAGGTAAGCTTTACGGTTTGTAATGTTTTGACACTCATCATCACTCATCCTTTCAAAACAAGATGCATCATAGTTGTTTCGGTCATCTGCGATACATCCATTCGCTTATCATATTATTTGCTGTTGGATACAAACATACTTACTATCAAAATAATCTGTATCCCTTGTTGTCTTTGAGAGTTGCCAGTGGCGGTCTCAGGGGGGTGGATGGGAGGGATATTTCCCCCGAAATATTTTATATTTTATTAGCTAACATAAATACTATTAGCTTGAAAACATTTTAGAGCTCAAATAGCCTACATATTAAAATACATTTTCCTACAGTTATGGCCTACTTAACAATGTTTTCTTACATGTTCTCTCACTGATTTGAGAAAGCAAAGTGGCCAATTCGCTTACCAGTGAGACAATGTTAACATTGTCTCACTCTAATTACTTTGTCTCACTCCAGTTGCAACGTGAAGGCACGAAATAGTGAGCGTGTAACATGCAGACAAGGTCGTATGCCCGCGAAATACGTTGGCAAAACAACGTAAATCAGCTTAATGGTTAAATGCTAAATGGCTAGGTAAATGGTTACGTTAAGCGTAAATGGCAGGCTGTAAATCAGCTGGTCAGCTGTTGTAGTGTTGTATCATTAAATGTCATATTAAAAGCTCATTTCTGTGTAAAAATATGTTACGCTTCTTTACCAATTTATTTGTTTTATGGTATCTGTAGGAGAAATATAATGTGCAACTCGAGTGCAAAGTGCAATTGCCTCACTCGAGAAACCATTCCTATAAGTAAGTAAGTAAATAAGTAAGTAAGTATTTCTCTCGAGTGAGTCAATTGCTCACTTTGCTCACTAGTTGCACAAATAACTATTTCAGGCTTTTTAATTCCAAATTTTTTGTGAGGGGACCCCATACCTCCTTTTTTCTGGGGGATATTCCATACCCCCAAACCAGTCCCACCCAAAATTAAATCCTGGGACCGCCACTTGTGTAGATTGCGTAGATTTTTTTTTACATTCATACCGGTACTTAATCATTTTTGAAGTCAGCATTGCTAACACTTTTTAAGCATCTTTTGTTCCAGAGTTAGAACCAGCTGATCTTGGTATCCGGCTGTTAACTTACCTATCTCATTTTCTTAACTCTCATCAATCACTCATCTTGCTTAAAATACACGTATCCTCATTTGTTGGTAACTCCATTCTTTTGGAAGACGAGAAGATCAATAAAAAACATAAAATACCCTCACTGCAGCAACCTGCAGACTAAGCGAATTTCCATTTGCCTGATTGGATTTACAATAAAATATCTCCATTGTGACATGTTAATACAGGGTACAGTAGGCCTATGTAGTTTGGTAGGAAAAAATTCGTTTTCCAAAAATGTGATCAAAATCTGTTGATAAACAAGCAAACTACAACAGTTATTAATTCTCAATAAAAATAACATAGGGATTTAAAATTTAAAATTTGTTGAATTTTTTCTGTACCCTAACCATTAGGAGCATATTGCTTCAACTTACTAAATAGTTTATTTTTTTAGCTCTAGTACATGTTTTTGGAAAGAAATTGCAAAATTTTATATATGAGTTTGAAAGGACAGTGTTTTTGGCCTCTAGGGACCTCAAAACAAAAAAGTAAATTTTCTCTCGGGTCCAGGTCTTACTATGAGTACAACCATTGACTATAAATCCTTAATGGTACAACGGTAATAACTTAGTTCCCTTTATGGGAAATTCACTAAAATGTTAGCACCTTTGTAGATGTGTTGTATGTACATCAGGAGCTGTACTTGTCAGTATGTAGTGGTTTAAAAAAAGTCCATCATCATTATCATTTGAGATAAGAACGCCATCTATGTGCTTAGCGCGTAGGCCTATATTTTAACCCAAATATAAGTGAAGGATGAGTGTAGAATGGAGTGTGATGCTTTGTGTAGAGTACCTTGTTAAATCACACAATAAACACATGATGCTGTAACTAGATTTCTAGTAGTTTATCATGAAGACATTTTCTAAAAAAAAACACTGTACCGTAACTTAACAGTTGCAGGTTAAAGGAGCACCTCAACCACCACCACCACAATGTTCGAAGGTGTAGTTGCCACTCTTCTGAACCGATACCTCGGTAAATACATTCAAGACTTGGACACAGAAAACCTCAATGTTGGAATCTTCAGTGGAGATGTTCAGCTCACTGAGCTCAAACTCAGGCCTGAGGCTTTGGTAAGTAGATAGTAGGAGAGGTAGTAGCCTATCGTATTGTATTCTTATCTCTTATTATGATTTTGCAGTTTTCATGTGCATTTTTGATAAACTGTTAATGGTGTTGTTTTGAGGGTTTAACAAGTTCTCTACCAGGCAACTCCCTGGTCTGTATATCAGCATTGGTAGAAATTAGTGAATGTGTTTAAAGTATTTGAATGGTCTTTTAGTGACTGACTCAGTGGAACAGACCTCTTTTTGCATGTATGCCAATATATTACAGTTTTATGATTATAGCCTATACAATTTAAATAGACTATATAAAAGTGATGCTAATATTTGTTTTAAAATTAATAAATTGGTAAGTGGAACTCATAAAGTGCTAGGCTCCCTCCCTCCATTTTGCCTACTTCACTTTGAAAACTGTCCTTTACAAAAAAAAATGTTTTTAACAAATTAATCAGCCCGGTTAAAATAGTGTAAAAATCTTAAACAACTCAAGTGTACACTTGGGGACAAAATAAGGCTCCTCTATACTAAAAAACTTTAATACAAATCTTCCTATTTTTTTATTTATTTAATGCATCTCTAACTGTACTTGTCATTTTATTTTTTTCATAAATGTACATAACAGTCATATGTTTATTTATTCGTGTACACAATGTCCAACTTACCAATGAACATTATAATGTTTTGGATTTTTGTCAAACAAATAAATACATATAAAAAATCAATTCATTGTTGCAGTAAGTTACCTAGTTGTATTCTTAATGGAGGAATGCCTAAAGTTTGAAAGTTTGATAAATTGAATGCAGGAGAAGAGCTTTAAACAGTGAAGCCTGCAGTCTATTGATTACAAAGCCGTTCTAAATAGGCTAAACATTACACCGTGGGTAATGTTGTAGTTCGTCACCAATCATTCAAACGTAAATGAAAATAATTATAACAATATGTTTATGTTATAATTTTATGTTTGAATGTAATGTTATTTTTTCCAATTTTCCATTACTTACAGTACGAGCTTGACTTACCAATAGAGGTGAAGGTTGGAACCATTGGAAGGATTACAATACACATTCCTTGGGCCGGCCTCTACAATCAGAGTGTCAGTGTGGAAATTGAGGTAAGTTTAGAATAAGTAACTTTACATAGTAACTTTATGTGCTTTTTTAGTCCTTCTTTGTTTTTAGTTTTAGTGCTGTACTATACTTTATGACAATTCCACCCTCAGCTTTACTGAGTTTTGTAATGTAACGTAATGTGAAAATAAATGATTGATTATTGACTATTAACCATTTAGCTTTTTTTATCGCCTGCAATTTTCTGAGTATTTATTTCCAAAATGGTATTAAATAGTCAAAAACCATTTGATTGAAACCAGTTTTATAAAATATCTGACTTTTACAAGATAGGCCTACTGTATTGGAGTTTAACGATTTGCAACTAAATTTTGATGGAGGTAGCTGGTAATTAATAAAGACATTAATAACTGACCTAAGATCATGTAAATAAACAAATTGTTGCAGTGATGTAATACAAATAATTACTGTATATGATTGATGTTAAACTATATTTTTTTAGGATGTGTACTTAATCGCTGGACCAGTGACTGACCGAGACTATGATCCGGAAAAAGAGAAGAGACTGCTCAGAGCTGCTAAGAGGAAGAAGTTGGAGTATTTGGAATCAGAAAGCTTCTTGGGAGCTGGTGAGAACCTTAGTTTTAATTATTAGAATTAGCCATTTAATATAGCTTAGTGATAGTGAGTAATATTTCTGGTCAAATATAGTATATATTGTAGAAAACTACAAATATAAACCTATACGAGATTTATTTGTGAATTGTTTAGCTTATAGAACACAAAAAGCTGTGTCTAAAAGTGTTTTTTTTTTCATACATTATACAATGACAAATATTTCAATTCAACACATCTAATGCAGTTTGTTACTGAACAGATGCTCCGGACTCGAGGAATTTCTTTGAGAATCTGACGACAACCATCATGAACAACTTGCAGATCCACATTCACAACGTTCACATCCGCTACGAGGACTCTACCATGAACAGAGATACTCCGTTCGCCTGTGGTCTTTGCATCCAAGGCATCTCCATAGAGACTACTAACAGGTGAGGTACTTATAGGGGAATGCAAATGTTGTGTTACTTCGTCACTGTGCTTAGAATTGTACAGAATCAATATGTGAAGTCGAGTAGAAAAAACAACTGCTACTTTGATTTTACAGTAAATTATTGATATTTTGTTTTTCCATTAGCAAATGGAAGCCAACGACCAGCTGTCAAGGAGCGAGCTCTGTCTACCAACTGTTGAAGGTTGAGTCGCTGTCTGTTTACGTCAATCCCAGTGTTACCACCTTGATAGGCAGCAGTCCTGGACTTGCTACCTCGGCACCTTACACTTGGCGTAACGACATGAAGCGTGGCCTGGAAACATTCTCTATCAATAAGGACGAATTTGACTTCAGTGAGTATTTGATGTTGTACGTTTCCTTTGAATTCAATGTGATTTTTGAGATAGTAGAGGTTAGAACGGTACTAAGTATAGGGTATTGTATGGCATAAAAAATGTAAAATTTCAAGGAAAGGCTTACGGTACTGTGAAGTATTGGTGGAACAATAACACCCCTTTTTCATTAGCAGATTTTTATGTTAAGAAGGTAGAAGTTTTATGCTCTAATATTACACCATGAGTAAATGGGGTTTTATTTATTATTTTGTGATGCTGCAGAAAATACCTTGCACAACAAACATTATAAAATTTTGCCTTGTCATGTCATTTTGCAGCTCTGGTAGCCACCTTGCTAACCTACCGGTGCTTAAATAGTTGGTTTGAATCCAACCTGCGAGCACTACAGTAGTGTAGTATTTCACGTTCACGTTCACTCATTAGTCTAATGGTCCCACCCGGCTGACGGTGACATGGTGGATTAGTTGGCTAAGGTGTTGCATTGATGAGTGTAGCTCTGAGGTATTTCTACAAGCGGGTTTGATTCCTTTACATGTGCAATCCATATTAAGCCTACTACTGTGTGGCTAGGCAGATGGCCCACCTTAAATAAGCGGTGTCTGGCTTGGGTGATTGTTGACAACATTTATCAGTTTAATAGGGATTACACATAACTGTTTGGCTTATTTTTATACTGCTGTAAAGAAATACACAGATTTTTCTTTTTTGTTTTTTATTTTGGTTAAATTACATATTGTACATTTTGGTTACATATCGTATTGACACAAATCATTAAAGATATAAATCCAATATACTACTAAATTACATTAACAAAGATACCATTAAAACATTCCCGGGTCGATGGGATGGAGAGGGAAGTTAGTAAAATTTAAATGCATTCAAACTATATGATTTTGTTGTTGCAGTTTTAAAGCCCATCGCAGCTAAGGTGAAAGTTATAGTCAACAAGTCCAACGAGGCTCGTGTACCCAAGTTGCTGGTGGACTTTGTCTTGCAAGACGCAGCGATGCAACTGAGCAGACAGCAGTACCTCGCACTCATACAGCTGATCGAGTCTTTCCAAAGAATCAACCTCAACCGGTAAATTCTATAAATCGTTTGGCATAAAATAGAGGTCATGAAATATATCTTGAACTCGGCCAACACATTGGCCATGTCTTGAAATCGAATTGGGCTACCCACAGCGGACATACATTTCAATATTCAACATCTTCCATGATTGAAGCTTTGAGTATTGATAGAAGTAGAAATCCCATGTCCATGTTGGAGCCAGTTGTAGAGTAATAACTAAACTAGAATAGTCAATGCTCAACTATTGAATCAATCCAAAGGCAATTAATTGTTAAGATGACTGTGCAAAAACAATAATATAATGTTGGTCCTCCCTGGGGAAATGGTCCTTGCATGCATGCGTATCCCACTTGCTAGTCTAATTGACACGATCTATGCTTGTGATGTTGTTAGTAAATGTTTTCGTTAATTTTATTTACAAATTTACATTCTAATATTACAAGTAACAGTATTTATTACTGTCTTTATAAATTAGCTTTAAAGAACTGCTTGCTTCTGTTCATTGTTCTTAACCAAATGCAAATCTAGAGTAAATCTACAAGTACTCAATAACAAACTAATGACATGCATGACAAGTTCTAACATACTCGCTGCAGCAACCATTTCATAACTTGACCTTAGTTTCAATTATTTTTTGAGAGGGAAATATTTGTAAGCAGGGGTAATATTCATCCTAAATGTATCTATAACATCCACTACAACCTTCCTCCTAGAAACCTACAAAAGTCTAACGGCTTGTATGCTATGCTCCATGTGTGACCGATAACCGATAACGGAGTGGAACTCTGATGAATATCTAATCTACAAACTTTATTTAATCCTACAGTCTTGTGAATGACACTTCTAATTTATATTTCAGGAAATATCGGCAGTTCTACCCAGGAGTTGGAGTGACTGGTAATGTCCACAAATGGTGGAAGTACGCTTACAACGGAGTCCTAGAGCAGAGGGTTCGGCCGTACACTTTGGAAAGGATAGTAAAACACCGGTAACATTGTTTTTTTTATTAATTTTTAAAAAGTCAATGCACTGGTTATAGGGTTTGAAAATTTTTAATTGGTGAAGTATTGTGTTTGCCACAGAGATTACTGAATACTATAGCTTTTAACGTATTATCTGATTTATAAAATGTAGTGAAATCAAACTAAGCCTTCCTTACAACCATGAATTTAATGTTAGATAACTCTTAATAAATAACTGAAGACCACACCTCTCATAAACACCAATCAAGGGTACAAGCCAAAAAATAATGCAATGAGGCGTTTGGGTTGGCTGCATTCTAAGTGTGCGATCATTATCTGGTTGATAACGGAGGGGATTAGAACATTTTCTTCCTGACCTGGGGGTAATTTGTAGATTGAGGGTTTAATCCCCTCTCTGATATTGGTCCTTGTTTATAACCCACGAGGAGTTAAACTGCCTGATGCAGAGATTGGTGGCCAAGGTTCACCTTACATAAACATTTGACAGTCTGGTGAAAGTTGACATGATTTGTGGGTTCTTTATGGGTTGCAAATCTTGAAATCTTCTCCAGAATTTTGCTCCTTATGGATATCCTTACTAATTGTCAAATAGTGTGTTGACAAGAAACTAGATTTTTGCGTGTACAAAATTTAATCATAAAAATAACATGTTCAAAATAATAAAAATACCCCCGCCGCAGCAAACCTGCCGTCTAAGCGAATTTCCATTTGGCTGAATTGATTTTCAATTGATCTATTTAAATAACATTAGGTTTAACGAGTACCTAGGTTTGCTGCTACAAGGAAACTAATAAAGTACGTGTTTTAAGTAAAATAATTATTGCTTCGTATAAAATGAATATATTTGCCAAGTTTGATCAAAAGATATCCATAAACAAGCAAACTACAACATTTTACAATATTCTCCGTAAGAATAACATGGGAATTTTAAATTTACCATTTTTTAAATTTTCTCCGTAACCAATTACTGTACAAAAACACTTCGATATACTGAATTGTTTGTTTTTTAAAGCTCTTTAAGAATGTTTAGAGAAAAATTGGGAAATTTTGTGTATTGAGGGTCAAAAGTGAGAAAAACCAATTTTTACCCCATAAAACCCTGTTCCCATGATCCGATCATGCTGGATTGCGAACTCATTCAAGTTTATCCCGCCTTACACCTTCAAACCAAATTTCATCAAAATCGGATAAAAATTACTCAAGTTATCGTGTTTACGGACACACACATATATAAAAATTTGAACGAATGGTGTTTTTGGCCTCTGGGGACACCAAAATGAAAAAGTAAATCGGTCCCGGGCCTAAGTCTTACCATGAGACCTACGGTAATAGCTACTTCCCTATAGGGAAATTCGCTAATATTTGTATTGTTAAAAAAGGTTAAGAATTCCATATAAACAAAAAAGTACAAACTGTACCCCATCCATTACAATGATCTCATAATTGTGATATTTTATCATCCTAATTTTGATATCAGTTTTATTGATCTCCAAAAAATCATATAATGAAGTTTAAAAACATGGTAGTTCATCCATGACTAAATTCATTGCTCTATTGAGTTCATCACTATCTCTCCATTTAGGGATATTTGTTAAAAAAATTAACAATTTTCTTAAAACTCTCGCTAAGTGATAAAGTTAAACAGATCATTGTGAAGTGTTAGAAATGTTCGTTAATCGATTGTGATTGTTTGATGATAGGACCAACTATCGGAAGTATCGAGATGTTTATGCTCAAAGTCTTTTAAACCCGACTGATACTGAGTTAAAGCTAGATCTTCAGCGGCATGAGGATCAACTGGATATGCTGAACATAATCATTGCCAGGGAACATGCAAAAATACAGGTAACAGACAAAGTTAATGGAATAGGTTTTTTAAACTGTATTCAAAATTTTATCATGTTTGGTATTTATGTTAAATAAAGAATTTGTTGTCTCCTGGATGTTAATAAACAAAATAAATTTTATTTGTATAAGAGACGGAGGACACAGATTTTTCTTTTTATGCTTTCATTTTGGTTAAAAATGGCTGTATTATTTTGAAATGCATATATGATGAAAGATATAAATCGATATAACCTAAAAAAAACTAATAAAAAAATTTAAAAAAATATTCTGGTGTCATTGGGTTAACTGTGACTTGCTATAGTTAATTTACAATAATACCGAATCAATATTCATTATCGTAATTTAATTTATTTTTCAAATACATGAATTACTTGGTTCCAACAAACTCATGGTTATAATACCTACTGACTGACAGACTGGCTGGCTAGCGATCCGGTCAACATATATGTGTGACTCCAAATCCCTGTCTTATTGTCCACATGTAGCACCAGGTCCAAATAGTACAGGTAAAATAGGGTTTTATAAACAACAAAATTTGTACATTCATGAAATTTCACCTGTGAGTTACTAATAATATGAGAAATGAAGATCCGATGAGTCCCCAAAATTTTGGGTGTCCTAAGGCCCTTTTTAGGGGCCCTTTTTGTTCCGAAGGGCCCTTGTTCCTAAATAACTTTGATTTTACGTTTAAGGTCAAGTGAGGTGTGGTTTTCGATGGTTTTAGTTATTTTTAATCAATTGGGAGTAGTTTTAAGTGTATTAAACCACTCCATACAGGGTGTTTCGAAATATTATTACTTTTTACGATATTTAAACATTTATTCATAAAGTAATAAAATTAGTTACCTCCATGATCTATATAAAAGGGGATTATTGAAAATAATTGTAATTCTTTACTACGTAAGGGGAAAGGATCACAAGGAGTAAGAGATAATATTAAATACCCCCGTCACAGCAAACCTAAAGCCCTAGCGAATTTCCGTTTTACTTACTTGATTTTCAATTAAATCTAAAATAGCATTGCGTTTAACGATTACCTAGGTTTGCAGCTGCAAGGAGGCTAATAAAGTGTGTTTATAGTAAAATATTACCAGCCTAGTATAAAACAAATAAATTTGACAAGTTTGATCAAAATATATCTATTAACAAACAAACAAAATCATTTTACACTATTCTACCTAAGAATAACATGGGAATTTTAAATTTACAATTTTAGTATTTATATCTGTAACTAATAACCATACAAAAATACGTTAATATACTAAATTATTTGTTTTTAAGCTATTTAAAATGTTCTAGCGAAAAATTGGGAAACTTTGTGTTTTGAGGGTAAAGTAAATGAGAAAACCCAATTTTTACCCCCAAAAACTTCGTTCCCATTGTTCAGGACAAAAATGCTTGTACCGACAATGCTGCTCTGATGTCTTAGTGCTGTCCTGGTCGTCACAACCACGAAAGATAACCGTACTTGTATTGATTGAAAATAAGTTTGAGGAACTTAAGATACAAGTTGCAAACGTCAGTATGTATGAAAGGTGTTTTTGCACCACATTGTTCGTGCTTTAAGATTGGTGTTGCCTGTTCTGCAATGTGCAAGGTTTTAGGTTTGTAAAGGGGAATCCTGCTTGAACACCAACTTGGACAAAACCAGTAAAGATGGACAAGTTGCTAAGAATAATAAAATTGTTAATGAGTCGTCTGAGAATAATTATTATTGTGATGATGAAATTGTAAAGAGAGATACTACAGAAATTGTAGAAAAATAGCTTTAGTTTAAGTACTTCATTTTAATATGTAATGTAAGGTTTTATACAAATACAATAGTAATAAAAATAAATTACAATAGTACAAATACAAATTTGTAATAAATGTAAAAAAATAACTTAAATAACTACCTAAGAAAAATACATATCAATTTGAAATTGGTCTTAATAGATTTGCATAAAAAACACGTTGAAAGATTATTCACACCACCTTAAAAGTTGAAATTTTTGCTTAGTAACCTATGTAATTATGTTATAGTGTAAAACTTAATGCATCCCCTTTTAGCGAACATCCCATATAGGAGATAAGCTATTACCGAAGGTGTTATGGTAAAACATAGACCCAAAACCGATTTACGTTTTCATTTCGATGCCCCCAGAAACCTAAAGCACCATCCAATCAAAATATTATATATGTGTTTATATACATATATATAATATAATCTATCCATGTTATATATGTGTCCGTAAACATGATAACTCGAGTAATTTTAGTTCAATTTTAACGAAACCAGCATAATCGGTCCATGGAACAGGGTTTTATGTGGTAATTTTTTTTTATTTTTGACCCTGAAAAGACAAAGTTTCCCAAATTTTCTCTATAGCATTTTAAAGAGCTTAAAGAAAACAAATAATTTAGTATATTAACGTGTTTTGTAAGTGTATTAGTTACAAATAAAATTCAAAAATTGTAAAATTAAAATTCCATGTTATTCTTAAGGAGAATAGTGTAAAATGATTTTGTTTGTTTGTTTATTGATATGTCTTAATAAAACATGTCAATTTTATTTGTTTTATACTAGGCTATTGATATTTTACTATAAACACACTTTATTAGCCTCCTTGTAGCAGCAAACCTAAGTATTCATTAAACTCAATGCTATTTTAGATTTAATTGAAAATCGGGCAAATGAAAATTCCCTTAGTCTGCAGGTTCGCTGTGCCGGTTGTATTTAATATTTCCTCTTACTCCTTGTGATCCTTCCCTCTTATTTAGTAAAGAATTACAGTTATTTTCAATAATCCCCTTTTATATAAAGCATGGAGGTAACTAATTTTATTACTTTATGAATAAATGTTTAAATATCGTAAAAAGTAATAATATTTCGAAACACCCTGTATGGAGTGGTTTAATACACTTAAAACTACTCCCAATCGATTAAAAATAACTAAAACCATCGAAAACCACACCTCACTCGACCTTAAACGTAAAAACAAAATTATTCAGGAACAAGGGCCCTTCAGAACAAAAAGGGCCCCAAAAAGGGCCTTAGGACGCCCAAAATTTTGGGGACTCATCGGATCTTCATTTCTCATATTATTAGTAACTCACAGGTGAAATTTCATGAATGTACAAATTTTGTTGTTTATATTGAGTGTTTTTGTATTATTTTACCTGTACTAAAATGGCAAAGGTCCTGTGTAACTATTGAATCTACTGAGATCAGCAATTTGCTACCAGGGTTGTTAATAACATTAACATAGGGTTCTGTGGAACGTTCGTACAAATTTCTTATGGGTTTTCCAAGGAATGTGGACTGCCAGGACAAAGTGTGTTGAGTTAGGAGAACTTTGCTGCTAAACACATCATATGAGACAAATTAAGTCCAGGCAACTCCATATGTAGGCTACTGTAAACATTTTATCAGGTTACATGAATAATAATGTAGAAGTAATATTCTTCTTTCTTTCTTCTTCCTTCCATATTATTCCTACTAAGCCTCTCTCTGTTTGCAGCTGCACAGGTCGAACCCTGAGAGAGTGTATGTGTTTGAGCGAGAGGGAGTGTGGTGGAGGGGAGGACTGGAGGGGGAGGCGAGGACAGAGTTGAGAGTGATGGCAGACAAAGGACGAGGACTTTGGTCACAACTGTCAACATCGGAGAAAACTAAACTTTACGACGCAATAGGTTATGTCGAGGAGACTGCCAACAGACCTGAGAAACCCAAGCAGTACATAGGTAGGTCGTAGATTTGTTTAAGGTTCACATGAATACTCCTTGTGTAATATATTACTGGTGTGGCTAACTAAATTGGTGGGCCATGACCTGTTTCTAGTTTTAGTAGTAATGACATGTATTGTCAGTAGACTGTATCGCATCGTTTTTGCTAATAAGCAATTTAAACAAATACATATGTACCAACGTTTACAGGTTGTAAATGTACAAAATTTAACATTTTCACACTTTTATGGTGTTAATTAATAATTTAATACCTTATCTGTACTAGGGATCCCAGACGTCCTCTTTTTCCCGGACACGTCCTCTTTTTGGGTACAAAAAAAAACGCCCGGGGGGATTTTTGGCAATACTTTCAAATGTCCGGGATTTTGACTTTGTGCGAGAATAAAAAAATATTTCTGCAAGAATTAATATTAGCAATCAGCTTTTATAATTAATCGTCATCATAGCATTAAACTAAGTTAAAATACTACACTTTAATAATATCTTACTAAACTATTATACCAGGGGAACTTTAATAATTTTTATTGCAAATCGTTCTACCAAATTGAATTCATTGTAGTCTTTACACTTGTGGCGAACGAATGGACTAATTACAAACTCTAACCCAAACCTCGGGATCGTTTGAGTCTTGACTATTTTTTGTACGTTATGAAAAGACTGGAAGATCGGCAGACGACGGACGCTTTCAGCCATATACGGCAACGGCAGTGTCCGATGCTGGCGTGGCGTTCGACGTTCGGCCGCATTCTTCTTATTTAATTTTTCGGCATTTAATGTTACCATTAATTTTAACCCAAATGGTTTAGAACTTGAATTGGGTATTGGATAAAGAAAAGAAGTTGTATCAAAGTCCAAGCTTGAAGGGTAGTTAAATATTAATTTATCTGAGTTCAGCGATAGGAATTTGTTATTACAGTAATGTAACTCAATGATTACCATAGAAAATTTTTAAAATTTCAATATTAAATCATTCATATTTAGAGCACCTGATATCATATTTAAGAATAACACTACCCAATTGGTATGTTGCTAGCCACAAAACAACAACAAAATGGTAGTGTCTCAGACTTAGGTGCGGAAGGGACGGATTTAATTCCCGGCACAACCACTCACAACCACAAAAACTTTATTCTCACATTGACCCATTGTAAAATGCCACTGGCGTAGAAAAAAATTAGAACACTGAGAACCAACTCTTCAGGCAGTAGCAGTGACGGGACGCCGACGGCATCGTTAGTTGGGTAGTGTACTTTGTGTAGGTTAACTGTTGCTTGCTGGGCAGGTATAATGCAGTCGTGTTGGGTGCTAGTTCTTAAACACTTCTTAGATAAAATAAGTTCTCTGGTTCAAAATCATGGTCTGATTTTGGACAATTTCTGTTTAGCATGCACATTGGCACCAGGGTGTTTTTGTAAATCAAACATGCTTGAATGTGTTGTAATGTTGCGGTATTCCTTTGATATTAAAACCACAAGTCTCAATAATAAAAAAATACCCCCGCCGCAGCAAACCTGCAGACTAAGCAAATTTCCATTTGACTGATTGGATTTACACTGAAATGTCTACTTAAAAATATAACATTATTCTTGATTTAAATAGAATTAGTTTAACAAGTACTTAGGTTTGCTGCGTCAGACATTTCTTGACCTTTAAAAAATAAACTGGGAAGCTTGAACACATTAAACTAGGTCCTCAAAATAGCTTAAAAAGTACTAATTTTAGCACGTTATTTCCAAAATTTTACCCCCCAGGCCCCCCGGTGACCCCCCAAAATATATGTCTAGGTCCACCCTTGGTGAGTAATTTTGTCCTCTTTTTTGATGGAGGGTCCCTGGGAACCCTAATCTGTACAAACTTTCTATTAATTGGGAACACAAGGAATAAAGATGGATTTCTTAACTAAGGACTAATTACAGAGTGGTGTGAGTGACTCGATTGGTGAGCCAAGCTGAGTCTAGCCTTTTAGTGATTGAGCACCAAGTCAGAAAACCAAGCTTGAGCTGATCTTTTACTATCACAATATTATTGCGACCGCAGATCGCGTCTGTGAAGATTGTACAATTGAAAAATTTACTGCGATCATGAGAGATTATCAATGTCGACAAGACCGCAGATGTTAGTGGTGTCTACGCTACTGCAGGAGAAGACAATGATACCTACGAGAATACAGGAAACATTTAGGATTTGGCAACGATCACGGAAGATGACGATGATGTCCACGCCAACACTTCTTTTGTCACCCGTTTTTATTTATAAATATATTTACAACTATCAAGGTTAAGACTATCAATGTAAAGGGTTGGAAGTGTATATTTATTTAAGTTTCTTCATACACTTTTTGAAAATATCAGGTGTTTTGATTTTCATTTAATTTGTTGCAGAGCACAAGGTAAACTTCACTCTGGCCAATTGTAACCTGAGTATGGTCAACCGGGGGAGGGAGATCCTTGTGCTGACATTGGCACAGTTCCTGGCCAGCGTAGAGACTCGACCTTCTGCTCGAGCGTTTAAAGTGTCGGCTCGTGTTGAGAGCTTTGTGGTTGAGGGGGCTAGCGTGGAACACGATCTAGTTCCCATAATCACTGCAGACAACATTCTAACTGGTGAGTGTCATCTGTTAGAATGTTTTTATTATTTTCTGTTTTTAAGCCATTGGCTCGTTTCACATTTTGTAAGGGAAGGTTCAAACCCTGTCAACATTTTGTTAGCCCCATTAATTTTTATCCAAAGAAAAATATCATCCGTGTTTTCAAGAAATGACTCCACTTGGGAAAGAATTAGCAAACTTCAGAATTGAAGTTGAGCGCTATAACTTGGATACCAAGATAATTTGATGCTTCAATTGGTTTATGAGAGAAACCAAACAAAGGAAGAAAAAAACTTTTTTTTTGGGACCTTATGATATTTGAGTTCTATTTTTGGTGATGGTTAGTGATCTTTGTTTCAAAAACATTAAGATATGTGATTTTTATTATTAATTTTTTATTTCTAAATACAGAACTCCTTTAATTAGATTACTATAGGTCGGCCGGTTAGAAAACAACCTGCGCAAAATTTTTAGCACATGTAGGGGAGGTAACGGCGAGGGAGGGTATGTTCCGGTTCCCCCTCTCCGCCAATGGCCGTTTTGACACGACACCGGCACGTCACCGACTCGGCGCCACCCCGGTGTCGTGAAAGTTGGAATCCTGTATTACCAAATGGAACTGCTTACACAATGATATAATAACATTTCATGATGCTCAAATATTGATAGGATTTAGGCTATACAATATTTTTTGCAGGACCTATTTTTCTCAAGTTATGAAGAACGTAATTATTTACATTTTTATCAGCTGTATAATTTAATTGCTGTTAATATTTATAAAAGCTTGGGGTGGGGAGGCAGCAGAGTGAGGGAAGAGCCATAGTCTGTCTCACTCCCACAGCTCGGTATCTCTCTCTCGTACCAATGCTACGAGGAGGACGCTTTCTAACCGGCCGACCTATAGCTGTTACTTTACTAGTGTAGATTCTTGTGGTTGGTCTCTGCTTAGTGGATTATCTTTATTTTATTTTAAAGTTTCCTTGCTCCTTAACTGGTGATCATCCCAGACCATTTCTTATCTTTAGTTCTGTTTAGGATTCATGTGATTGGTCTTTGCTTTAGTGGATTGTTCTCGCTTTTATAAAGTTTCCTCGTTCCTAACTGTATGAATGAATGAATGAATGAAAACAGTGCTTTATTGAATAAAAATAATCCTTACAAACATAGGCTCCTCGCAGGAAGCCACATTGACTTACACTCCTCGTTCGTAACTGGTAATCACCCCAGGCCCCTTCTTATCTTTAATTATATTTGAGATCTTGTGATTGGTCTCTGCTTTAGTGGATTGTCCTTGCTTTTCTAAGGTTTCCTCGCTCCTAAATGGTGATCACACCAGACCAGACCCTTCTTATCTTCAATAATGTTTTAAAATATTGTGATTGATCTCTGCTTTAGTGGATTGTCCTTGCTTTTCTAAGGTTTCCTTCTTCCTAACTGGTGATCACCCAAGGCCCCTTTGTATGGTCAATACTGTTTGAGATTCTTGTGATTGATCTCTGCTTTAGTGGATTGTCCTTGCTTTTCTAAGGTTTCCTCGCTCCTAAACGGTGATCACGCCAGACCCCTTCTTATCTTCAATACTGTTTGAGATTCTTGTGATTGATCTCTGCTTTAGTGGATTGTCCTTGCTTTTCTAAGGTTTCCTCGCTCCTAAACGGTGATCACGCCAGACCCCTTCTTATCTTCAATACTGTTTGAGATTCTTGTGATTGATCTCTGCTTTAGTGGATTGTCCTTGCTTTTCTAAGGTTTCCTCGCTCCTAAACGGTGATCACGCCAGACCCCTTCTTATCTTCAATACTGTTTGAGATTCTTGTGATTGATCTCTGCTTTAGTGGATTGTCCTTGCTTTTCTAAGGTTTCCTCGCTCCTAAACGGTGATCACGCCAGACCCCTTCTTATCTTCAATACTGTTTGAGATTCTTGTGATTGATCTCTGCTTTAGTGGATTGTCCTTGCTTTTCTAAGGTTTCCTCGCTCCTAAACGGTGATCACCCCAGGCCCCTTCTTAACTTCAATACTGTTTGAGATTCTTGTGATTGGTTGTGATTCCTTCTGAAAATTTAACCGAGGAAGTAAGCAGCTGCAAAACTAATCAAAAAGAAAGGGTAGTGTTTAAAAAATATAAACGTAGAACAAGCTACATGAACAATGAAACGCTGCACAACATCCATTTTGGAATGATTAAATGAAATTAAGTAATTACCATGACTACAAGAACAAAAAGAACATAAACATTGTTATTAAAAAAATAAATTATCAATATCATGAGGCTTGTGTATCTCTAGCTGTGTATTAGCCTAATTGTCTTTCAGTATGAAAAAGGGATCCCTCTATAAGCCAAATTATTCAATCTATAATAATTTTGTTGTTGGCTTTTTCATTAAAATCAAACTAGATAAGGAGCCACTTGTTCAGTTTATTAATGTAAAAACTACTTTTTCACTCTTGATTTTTAATACATTGATAATTATTTATATGACATTATAAAAGATGCTTTAGTTGACAGTGAATTAACCTTTAGGTTATTTTTTTGTAAAAAAGTCTATGTACACAAAAACACAACAGTGTTTGAAAATCGTGTGATAATTCAATGCTACCAAATCTAAGTCCTGTGTTTTATTTTAAATTGTAATTCTATGTCTGATTTCATTGGACATTTTTATTTTTTTGTTAGAGAATAACCCAAAATGTGGTCTTGTTACTATTTATGGTAAACCTTCTTGGAAGCAATTAATAGCACAACTGAGTACAATAGATTTTATTGACAAATTTAAACATTTTCACATGCTGTGACAGATTTAAACATGGTCAATATAAGGCTTGCATTATATTTTGTGGCTGAGCTAGAAAGCAATTGAAATATACATGTATTGAGTTAAGTATTAGAATATTAGGAGTAACAATTCATCATAATTTGACTTTTAAATGTTTGCTACTACTAACTAAAACTAAAACTTTTAAATTTGATTATTAAATCATATACTGTTAAAATGTCAATGAACAGCATAGTGTGATGGGAAGTACACTTTAAGAAGCACAGTATGAGTTTCTCTTGTTTTTAAAATTATATTACACAAAGACTATACATTTTTTCAAGGTGGATTAAATACTAATAATGTCTAATGTAAATTTTGTGTTTTTACGCCTTTGGAATTTTATGTTTTTCATAGGGAAAAACTGCAAATCCTGGAGTTGTTACCACTAAAGCACAGGTCACACTAGGCTGTTCGCCAGCCGCTGGTGATCAGCAGCTGGCACCAGCATCACCGGCCTACCAATCCAGGCTGAGTCAGCTCAGTGTCAGCTGCGAATTTTGTGGTCACATTAAGCTGACAGTCGCGGCTTCTTTCAATTCGCCGCTGATGCCAGCCTAGTGTGACCCGTGCTTAATTTAATGTTGCCAAATTATAACAATCCTATCTCAGATGATTTAATCTTTTTGTATCCAAACACCACCACTCTCAAGTATGTAAAGACCAGTAACTGTGAAGATATTGAAACTTTTTTCTCCAGGATTTCTTTTGTTTCCTTAATCTAAGGTTCTGTGTTGAAGATGTAATTCAAAAAGTAGCCTGATTAACTGATTGTCAGGAGAGCTTTCTAGTGGTAAAATTGAATAATACAATTAAAGATTACCAATATCATATGTTCATTTTAGCTGTGTATCTACAGTTATGCCAGTAAACTAATTGTGATTATTAAAATCCAGAGACATGTACAAGTTGTGTATATGTTTCATTGTTAGTTTAACTAGTTTTACAATGATATAGCCTACAGTTTAAAAAGAGTATAACATTTTCAGGTAACAATGCTTGCAACTTCCTTGCGATTGATTTTGAAAAGAATCCGCTCGCTTCAGAAGCTGATTATGGTCTTTCCATTTCACTTGAGTCAGTGGAGGCAGTATATCATGAGGTAAGTTATTTATTTCACTATTCCATTGAACATTATAAAGTAGTGTAACAAATTCAAAATTAGCTATGAGGATTTATTCTGGAATAGCAGGGTTATCTGAAAGTCCATCTTGGAAAATGAAACAAAAATTTATGAATAAATTAGAAAATTGTGTAAATTTTTGTATGCATGGATGGGCTCCTTCCCATTTAGGATCTACAAATTCTTGGAACCTAAAACCTTGTACTAAGTCAAATCACTAAGTTCAATGCTTTGAACTTTAACTTGGCATTGAGAAAATAGCATTCAAGACAGTTGGGAATAATATGTGCGCAACCAGTAACCTTCAGAATAGGAAACCTTACCCTCCAAAATGTACAATCTTTTTTTAATCAACTGATAGTATAATCACAAAAAAGTCACAGGTTCGCTACGCTATAAGTCACAAAAAGAATAAATAAAGCAATACAATAAAGTGTAAGTCTAACAATTTCATTGTACAAAAAGTATTTTATTGGATGGTAAAATACTAAAATATAAAATGCAAAATTCACAAATAAAATCTCAGTACAAAAACAAGATGACACAGGACCAGAAACTAAGACATCAAACTAAAGTTTTGAAATTACAAAACACCACTAGAAAAAAATCAGAAGTGCAAGACAATGAAAACAAGTTTGACAAGACGTCATAAAAGAGAGATTATTTCTGAAAGAAAAAAACGAAGTGTAAGAAAAGAGTTTCGTTTAGAGGGGCCATTTATTTTTTTGTAAGATGAAAGTGATTTATCAGTACTCTCTGGAGTTGCTGGACTAATGATGATTATAAAACGATTTTAAACCATTTAAAGTGGTATTTTATGATGTTGTAGCATGCGTTATCCGAACTGATGAGTTTCCTTCAAGCCCCGACAGTGTCGCTGATGTCGGTTGCACAGTCCACCTCCTCTGGTGTGTTCCACAACGTGCGCTCCATTACACAGAGAGCCATCGCGCGACACAAGGCGGTCCAACTCAACCTGGACCTCAAACTGCCCTACTTGGTCATTCCCGAACTTGGCTCAATGCAGAAGTGAGTTACAATCATAATAAGAGATCACTTTTAAACTAAGCAATCGAAAAAGTTTTCACAGGAAAGTTGTCTAAACCGCTCAAATTTTTGTGGGTATGGGGATGATCGAACCTGTCTCCTTCACACCAAAGCCTGAAACGCTAACCAAGGCAAGTAACATTAACAAACCCAACAACAACAAGAAACAACAGTAAACCATGAACAGATTACAGTATGTTTATCTATCTAAAGGGTGTTTCGAAACTCTCTCCTGAAACTCTGTGGGCATGTTACTGAGGTCAAAACAAACCAAAAATATCCTGTAACCAACCATATGCCCTATCTCGTGTCAAAGTAGGATTTTTTACAGTTATGTTTGTTTTTAGCGAATTTCCCATATAGGGAATAAGCTATTACCGTAGTACTCATGGTAAGACCTGGACCCGGGACCGATTTTTTTTTTCGTTTTGAGGTCCCTAGAGGCCAAAAACACCATCCGTTCAAATTCATATATATATATATATATATTTATATATATATACTTTTGTGCCCACCCGGTTTGGCAGTCAGTGCGCTGGTAATTTACTCGGTGTGGCAGTCACCCGCCCGAAAGCCAGTCAGCTCTCCCATAAGCCAGTCAGGTATGGCTTCCCGTGCACTTTATACGTATGAAAAACAGCAAACCGGTGCTGCTGCCTGTGTCGATAAGCGTAACTGCAATACCAATGCGGTGACTGTCTCATCGTGTGTTCTATCCTATCGTGGAGTAGTGTAGCCAAGTACGGCACCCTCCTCGCCTACTTTGTAGCGGTAACACCCAGCGGTCTGTAACCTTGGTTTACTCATTGTTACTATTTGTGTTGGGATAGTGATTAACTACGTGTTAATGTTTAAACATGTTCATACTCCAAATAAATATGATGCACCTCTAATAAGGATCGTCGAATATTAATTAATTATAAATGGTTGAATCTTGATCCTACCCGTTCATCATCTCAGATTTTAAGTTATTTTTATTTTTTTCACCTTCAGTTGAAATTTTAGTCAATTTCTCTTTTATACAATATTTTATATCCTATAGTACAATATTTACAGTGTGTCCACGGACCGGGAACTATACGGATTTTCTTTATTTCGGGAAATATACTTGAATCTTGTCCGAGATACGGGAACTGTTTTTTACGCAATTGCGTAACGCGAAGGAGTAACTATTACATATGGCAACGATATTATTCTATCTGATAAGAATAACCACGAAACTACACTTGAAAGATAAAAAGATTTTTATAATAGTTTTAATTTTACAAACAAACTATTACAGGAATTCTATTTTGGGACGGATGAATGATAAGGAAGCAACAAAAAGTGGTCACGAGTGCAATTGCGGAGATGGGGGGGGGGGGGGGGGGGGTACAATATAACAAACGCCAAAATCGATTATTTGTTTACTTTTCAGATTCCTTATCAAATCTCTCTCTCTCTCTAACGATGTACAGATTGTGAACTTTACGATTTAAGTTTTCCTGCAATTATTTCAGTTAAATCCTGTACCTATCCTTATGGTTTCCTTTCTATTGTTTTTCAAAATAAATAGTAAAGCTGGTTAAACTATTTTTTATTTTATTTTCTTGAAACCAAACACTCTTTACAATCCGGTATTCTGCAGAGTCAAATGTTTAACACTGTGTTTATAAAAATTGAATGGCCACACAATTTCGTGTTTTATTTTTTTAAAGTAATAGTAAATTGGATATTTATATATACCAATAAGTGCTGCAAGCTGTAATGAATGCTTCTGATTAATATCAAAATAAGTTATGATTTATTTTTTATAATACATCGGTCATTGAATACAAACCATTATAGGTTTTCTATTTGTATCTTAAACTTGCAAATACAGTAGAACCTCGCTTAACTGGGATCGCATCATCATGATGCCTATATATTATATAACCTCACAAATCCCAAGAAAATGTTTTATGAACTGTGTTTTTTCAGTCTAATATTTCGATATAACGATATATTTAACTATTTGCGGTAATTTTTATGTGCAGTAGGTTCCCAATTATTGAAATATTACAGTTCATTTGACAAAAATAAGATGGAAGCAAAACGGAGAAATATCGATCAGTAGCTTCAAGGTCAAGCTATACGCTCGCACCTACAGACTGACAATCTTGCACTGACATACTGACAATCGTCTGCTCCTGTCTGCTGTCACAACACTACAACATTTTGTGGTTGGGTCGTTGGGTGATTAGTAACCATGACAACTTGTGGATGGAGAGAAACCAAAGAAAGAATAGAACAAAGAAAAATAATAAGAGGTGTTTTACATCATTGTTATCTTTATCTTATTTTTATCACTGTTGTTATTACCAGAAAGACAGTACTATGACAGTACTACTACTGACAGTAGTACAGTACTATGATTTTATGGTGTTTTATGAGTTATTTGATATTTTTATCCCCATACTTCTGTTCTGAAACATCATGTATTAGTACCTAGGATGACTACGGTATCAGTAGTCTTCTAGTCTATATTTTCTTTTGTTTTAGCGAATTTCCCTATAGGGAAGTAGCTATTACCGTAGGTCTCATGGTAAGACTTAGGCCCGGGACCGATTTACTTTTTCATTTTGATGTCCCCAGAGGCCAAAAACACCATTCGTTCAAATTTTTATATATGTATATATATATATATATATATAGATTTATATATATATATATGTGTCCGTGAACACGATAACTTGAGTAATTTTTATCCGATTTTGATGAAATTTGGTTTGAAGGTGTAAGGCGGGATAAACTTGAATGAGTTCGCGATCCAGCATGATCGGACCATGGGAACAGGGTTTTATGGGGGGTTTTATGGGGTAAAAATTGGTTTTTCTCACTTTTGACCCTCAAAACACAAAATTTCCCAATTTTTACCTTAACCTTCCTAAAGAGCTTAAAAAAACAAACAATTCAGTATATCAAAGTGTTTTTGTACGGTTATTGGTTACGGAGAAAACTAAAAAAATTGTAAATTTAAAATTCCCATGTTATTCTTATGGAGAATATTGTAAAATGTTGTAGTTTGCTTGTTTATGGATATCTTTTGATCAAACTTGGCAAATATATTCATTTTCTACTAAGCAATAATAATTTTACTTAAAACACACACTTTTTTAGTTTCCTTGTGGCAGCAAACCTAGGTACTCGTTAAACCTAATGTTATTTAAATAGATCGATTGAAAATCAATTCAGCCAAATGGAAATTCGCTTAGACGGCAGGTTTGCTGCGGCGGGGGTATTATTCTTTACGTGATTTATTGCTTTACAGTAAGCAAGTTTTGTTTTGTTTGAGTAAGCATACGGTTTAGTTTTTATTACTGAACCAAGGTTAATGACTTAACATATCACGGTTGCGCAATACCTATTGTATTTTGACTATGTAAAATGCAAATTTACAATCACGTTAACGTCCATTTATATAGAGTGTCCCGGAACCGCATTGTTCCTGAGTAAGAAACATATAAATATCATATTTAAATTTTCCAGAAGGCAGAGGATACACGTCCGGTAACCGGACGTGGATTAGACGTCCGGCAATTACTGTCATAACCTAACCTAACCAACCAAACTTGCTGATAATGAAAAAATCGAATTAAGGTTAAATTCTTTCTCTATTAAAAAATTATAAATGCCAAAAATTCTAATTAAAGATGTACAGTTAAGAATAAATGGTATTCAATGCAAAATCTTCGACAAAAAGTTAATGTCACCAACGGGATTCGAACCCTGGGCCTCTTGCATATCAGCCGAGCACCTTATCCACTACACCACGACCACCGATGGCTGGTAATGGTATTGTTGTAGTAAAGGCGTTCCAGGCTCCCGCAACCCCATGACGTCATTGCCGTACGCCTTATCCACGTCCGGTTACCGGACGCGTATCCTCTATGTTTCCAGAAGTCCTTAGTTACTCAAACAGGAAAGTTTTAGGCCTAAATCATTTGAAACTTGTACATTACATATTTTTGGTCAAGTTTTCGACCACTGGACGACCACTAGTTAAAGTTAATTGTATTACAACAATCTTTATAGTAAGCAATATAAGCTTGAATCGGACTTATCTGCCTTCAGCTAATCCATCATATGATAGTACGTTAGAGAGTATGCCCATGCTGAATTTTTACTTATAATTGAAGAATGACTTAATTTATTACCAAGGAATAAATCACACGCCTTACATACACTGTGCTGTTTTAATTCTGTGTAGCTGATTGCTACTGTATTAACCTGTGATCGCATATTAATTCCTTCATAAGAACGTATTTAAAAAAATACTACTTTAATTTTCTAACATTTCTATGATTTATTTACAATAACAGAAATGTGTAAGATTAAAATAAATTAATGTGTTGCATTGTCCATTTAAAGTTACATCATAGGAAATTAAACTGCTATCTAAAACCACTAAAATAAGAATGTACAAAACTATAGTGCAACCTGTATTGCTATACGGGTCAGAAACTTGGTCTTTTACAAAAAAATCCCAGAAGCGCCTTATTACTTTTGAAAACAAAATTTTGAGAAGAATTTTTGGACCAGTAAAAGAAGGAAATGCATGGAGGATAAGGAAAAATAGAGAGTTAAAAGAATTATATGGTGAACCAGATATTGTGGGAATAGTTAAGAGTAGGAGGTTGAGATGGATAGGCCATATTAACCGTAGAAGTGAGAGAGAGATGGTAAAGATGGTACTCAGTGGTATACCAGAAGGAAGGAGACCATTAGGTAGACCAAGAATGCGATGGGTTGATGAGGTGACGAAGGATTTGAGAGGAATGGGAGCGGACTTGGAGCTGGCAGAGGATAGACGAGCTTGGAGGCACATGGTTGGCGAGGCCAAAAACCACCTAGGTTTCCAATGGCCACAGGAGTAAGTATAGGAAATTAAAAATCCACTGAAACTTAAACAATAAAAGCCGAAATTAGTTATAAAGAAAACACGAGTTTCCTTTATATTGCTT